CACCCTGCCAATCAAAAGTTTTAGGTCAGTGTTTTTTTTTTTTTTTCTCTCTCTCTTTTCAAGAAGGATGCATTAAATAGTTAAACAGTGACAGTATCACGGTCTCTACAAAAATATTAAGCAGCTCTACCATTCTCAATACTGATAATAAGAAATGTTTCTTGAGCAGCAAATCAGCATATTAGAATGACTTCTGAAGGTTCATGTGTAGCTGAAAACTGGAGTAATGGTATTTTGCTGCAAGAATAAATTAAATTTTTTAAATATATTCAAATAGACAAGTTATTTAAATATAATATAATTATATTTTACAGTATTACAGTTTTACTGTAAATTTCATTAAATAAATACAGCCTTAGTGAGCATAAGACACTTAAAAAAAAATAAAAAAAATAATTATATATATATATATATAAAAAATTGTAATTATTCCAAACTTTTGACCTGTAATGAGTGTGTATGTGAGCAAAACTTAAAAAAAAATGCTATTCTCAGTTGTTTGCATTTAATTTTTTGCCTTTCAGTTTCATTTGGATTCATGTTTGCAAAATAAATAAATGAAAATGCATTTCAGGAAACCGCAGTAGAGTTAATCTTCGCTGCTCACTCCACTACTGCCAGCGCATCAACATCCCTCATCCTGCAGCTGCTGCGTCATCCAGATGTGAGTGAGTGCGCCAGAGCAGAGCTGGAAAGCGAGGGGCTGATCGGCGATGCGCATGGATACTGCCGCTCTCGTTGCCATGGGAACGTCATCAGTGATGCTGCTGAGAAGAGTACCAGCGAGTGGAGATCAGCGATGAATAAAACACCGTGTTTTGAAGCAGGAGACAAGGAAGAGGGGCATCGCTCTCGCACCCACGTCCCTTACCTGAGTTTGGAGAAACTGAGTCAACTTTCTTACCTGGACTGTGTGGTCAAAGAGGTGCTTCGGTTCCTCCCACCAGTGTCTGGCGGATACAGGACAGTCCTGCAAACATTTGAATTAAATGTAAGTGTTGTTTTGTTTTTTGTTGTTTTGTTGTTTTGTTTTGTGCAAAATAATTACTGCAAATACCGTTTTATGGATAGTGCATTCATACATTGCAAAAGTTAGTACATTTTTTCAGTAACATTTTATATTAGAAACAGAAATTACTACATTATAACATTAGTGAAATTGTACATTATTAAACCACGATATTGCGTGAATAATAATAACAATAATAATAATAATGATATTAAATCAGATGTTGCTGGTAAAAATTAACTAAAAATGACTGTAAAATATTTTTGTGCACAGAAAAAAATACAAAAAAATGATATTAGCAACATTAAAATAATTACATAATGAAATGTGTAAAATGATAAAATGTATAAATATAGTGTGAATATTAATATAGAATAATAATTTTGTGCACTGACCCTAAAATGGTGTAAAAAAAAAATTACATTTTATTTTAGAAATAAAAATTCTAATTATTACTTCATAAAATTGTATTACATTATAATTTTTAATCATAAAAGTATTAAATCACAATATAGTGTGAATTTTTTTAATATTATTAATAATTCATAATTAAAGTTTTAAAAAAATTGTAAAACGTTTTTTGTGCATCAAACGTTTGAAATTTTTGTTGAAAAAATGAAATGATTGTCAGTAATATTTATTTTAGGAACATTAATAAAAATTTATTTTTAATTATAAAATCATGATCATGATATAATGTGAATAATGATACTAATAATAAACAGATTTTGCTGATGAAAAACATGGATTCAAAAACTTTACACAAAAATCTGTCTAACGTAATAATTTGTATATTGTGCATTTGCAGGGTTATCAGATCCCGAAGGGCTGGAGCGTCATGTACAGCATCCGTGACACGCACGAGACAGCAGAAGCATATCAGAACCCAGAGCTCTTCGACCCAGACCGGTTCTGCGCAGATCGAAACGAGAGCAAAACTGACCGCTTCAGGTACGTCCCATTTGGAGGTGGTGTGAGGAGGTGCATCGGCCGGGAGCTCGCTTTGATTGTGCTCAAAACTCTTGCGGTGGAGTTGCTCGCCACAGTAGATTGCACTCTGGCAACAGAAACATATCCAACGATGCAGACGGTGCCAATCGTGCATCCGGTCAATGGATTGCATGTGTTTTTTAACTACAGAACCCACGGAGTTGAGAGAAATCGGAGGGAATCCACGCATATATAGACAAAAAACTTAATTTAGACACTGTACCACATAGAACGCCAATGCATAGATGTCAAACTCCTTTTGGGAATCATATGCAGTTTCCTTTATAATGTTTATGTAAAGCAAGCCATCTGGAAATGGATGAAATGATGAACCTGACCCATTCATTAGATATTGCAGTCTTGAACTTGAACACTTGTTTTTAGTGAACTTGTGGAAAGGGTAAATATCCACTAGAATGCATGAAAAAGTTACTTAAACCCGTGTAAAAATATGTTAGGTTTGAATAGCCAAGCCATTGTGATGTGCATAAGGAAATCTAAAAAGAAAAAAAAACCCTATAAAAATAGAAATGCATTTAAATTCATTTATTCTTTCATCTCAGTCTTGTATGTGATATATAAACAAAACCTGTTTTTGTTTTATGAAATGAAGTAGGAACACAAATAAGCTCTATTTATATTTTTCTCAAGTGAATAGGATAGCTCACTAAATAAAAAATTATATTATGCCACTTTCTAATTTCTAGGCCACTGTACTACTAAAATGACTAGTTATCTCTACATGCTGTCCTTGCGGCTCTAGTACTTACAGAAGTTACACATTGCTTTAAACCATGTAAATAGATGACTAATGCATAGTTATTTGTGTTTATCATGAATGTAAGCTGTGAAAAATGACCCTTGCGCTGTGAACTGGGGGATCAGTTTAAATACAGGGAAGGAGAAAACAAGCAGCACTTTTTCTCCAAATTAGGAGTATGTGTGTATACATGTCGTATATGTTCAGTACTTGTGTAATACTTCTTGTAGTTCCTGTGCTCATGTGTTTGTCTTGTTGAATAGTGCTCATGTTAATTTTATATCTTTTATGGTATCTATTTTGAAATGTGTATTTGGAGCTGTTATAGTGTTTAAGATGTCTCTGTTCAATAAAGAGATTAGATGCGTTTATTTGCACTTTGTCGAGCATGAACATTATGTTTGGGGTCAGTATGTTACATACATGTATATGTAAACATTTATCGTAAGATAATTTACACTCCCATTCAAAAGCTTGACGGTCAGTAAAATATGAAAAAAAGAATACTTATTTTCAGCACAGATGCATTAAATTGATCAAATGTGACAGTAAAGACATTGTGTTATAAATAAACATTTGTAAACTTTATATTCATCAAAGAATCCTGAAAAAAATGTAATCACAAAAACATTTGGCAGCACAACTGTTTTCAGCACTGAAATAATAAAAATAAATGTTTCTTAATCAGTATATTATGAGTTCTGAAGGATCACGTGACACTGAAAATTGGAGTTATGACTGCTGAAAATTCAGCTTTGCCATCACAGGAATAAATTACATTTTAAAATTACATTAGAAAACAGTTAAAAAAAAAATAATAACATTTAACTGTTTTACTGCATTTTTGATCAAATAAAAGCAGCCTTGTTCAGAATATGAGGTTTCTATATTTGATACATTGGGGTTTATAAAACAAATTTGGCTACGTTATTGAAATTTCTACTGAGTAAAGGTTTCCTTTTGTCTCAACAAGCATTAAGATGTTATGTTTACCACGAAACTACTCGAGAACATGAAGGACAAGATCGTAGTGTTTAGATAAAGCAGAGCTGTGCCTGAATCCACCAGCAGTAGACATGCAGCCTCTCTTATCAATAAAAACGGGTCTCTGCGCAAAAGAGGAAGCAGCTTTCACACATGTATGGACATAAAACTGACAAAAGAATCTGTGATGGACTGACACACACACACACACACACACACACACACACACACACACACACACACACACACACACAGAGATGCATG